CTGGACACTAGAGAATGACCTCTTTACTAAGACTTACCACAAAAGAACATTTCTTTTTCTCTACTAAACCTAACACTGGCAGAAAAGACAAAACAAGCCATATAAGGCTTGACTTGTTTCTTATTACCACATGATTGAACTTACTCCTCACCATTCCAAATAGTAACTAGGAAAATGTGAATTTGGAGATAGACACTGAAGCATAAACTGGGCGCTATCAGTTTTAACTACCCCAGATCCATTCCTCTGGATAATATGATGCTCCATTTAGGTAATCTGTTTCCTAAAAGGGGTAGAACAACTCAAAATCAATTACCATTCTACCAGTTAATTCAGTGACTTTTTTTCATATGGTAACTTTTACCGGATTTGTATGATGCAGTCTTAGGCCTCTGTAACTTGCTTCTGGGAAACAGGCATCATATGTCTGTAACAAATATATTCTTTACAAAAAACTTACAGACATCTAACATGCTGCAGATAAAGTTCTCTGTTCAAAGCCTGTATCAGGATTGATTCCTAAATATAAGTTCAATATGCTTACTCTTGTATTTGTCATAAACAATAATTTTCTATGTAGATTTTTTTCTCTTGATATTACCCTAGAATATGTTAAGAATATCCAGCTTACTTTATAAAAACACACCAAAAAAAATTTTAATCTTCATTGACCTAATGACTCTATTCAAAGTTAGGTAAGGGCTGAAAACCCACCTTAATACAAACTATGGTTTTAATAAAACCCTCAAAATAATGCAGATCTAGTTATTTTCTAAATTATAGCCTTGAATGAATTTGTAAAGGTAACTGCAAAATACTGGTGCCAGAAAGTAACATCTGAAACTACCTATAAAGAAGAAAACATTAATTTGAAGAATTCTGTTATTTGCCACTGTAATGCAATATAGCACAGCTGGGTTTTTTTGTTAGTACTACATCACCATCCTGTGCTGTGAAATAAATGCACGTACAGGGAAAAACGTGCTCAAGAGATTACATACAGATACACAGTGCTATTTTCAAAGATACTGAGAGAACATCCCAATGCAAATCCCATAGTCTTAAACAACAAATCTGCAGACTTGTTTACTTATCCACATATGCAGGAGACCTGCTGATAAGGAATACTGCCTCTCCCAAACTGTTAAGTGGATCCTTCCTCAGAAAAAAAAAAAAGGCACACTATCACTCATTAATCCTCATCAGTATAAACATGTTTATATTTAAAATTTCAATGCAAAAGCTGATTTTTTTGCAGGATGTGCACTGAGGTTTAACTTCTGCAACCAGTTCAGCTGTTTCTAAATCACAGAAATCAATCCACAGAAACTTAGGAAGCAACTCAAACTGAGGTTCAAGGATGCATTCTGCATTCACAAGTGACTGGCTTCTCAGTCTAACATATTGCTTAAGAGTCCAACCCAAACACTAAGGATAGGGCAGATCCAGGTAAGTACAAAACCGGAGTTTTTTCTGTATTGCTTTTCTAGAAATAAATAAAATTAATCCCTCTAGCTCGAGAAAGGTAAAGAAAACAAGCCAAATTTTGGCTAAGCCTTCTGCCAGTATTATGGGGTTACTAATACTTAGTCTAAAGAAACAGAGCAGATGTGGATGCCTACCTTGTGTCAGAAGTCATTAACATACAGATTGCAGAAGTGGCAAATTACAACTTCTGAATAAAAAGTTACTAGATAGCACCTAAAAGTCGCAAATATGGCTTCCAATGGGGGTTCACTCTGGCCTGTCAAAGAGTTTAGCTACAGGAATAGCAAACTTTAATTAAAAGGTTAACCCTTCAAATTAACCCACGTTAGTTGAACAGAAAGGTTCACTTTACAGGTCACTTCAGTCATCTGGGCTCAAAACAAAACCAAAAAGTGATCTGATATCATTCAGTGACAATCCAGAAGCACATAGCCATTTTAAGAATGAGGCAGGGCACAGCAGCCTCAACCACCATGTTAGAAACACGTAATAAATCAAAGGCTTCTGATTATACACAGAAAGTGTGGAAGGTGTTTATTGTTGCTCTACTGCAATTCAAGTAGAACACACTGCAACTAGGAATCACAGAAAAACTTTCCAACGTTCCAAGAAAGGAGTTAATAGTTGTTTACGTGTAAAAAAGGAACACAATTCCCACCTTCAAAGTATAATATATGTGATCTGAAAGCAGTTAATGATTTATTTTCTGCTGTAACAGATCACTCCAAATGATTCCTAAAGTTCAATGCCTGGGAGCTTTAACAACATCTCAGATAGCAACACATTTATCTGCTCTAAATTATTTTAAAATGGTGCTAAAAAAAACACAAACCCAAGAAAATGACCACTCCTATAGATAAAAAAAAACCCAACCTGCACTCTTACTTGGTTCATATTACTCTAATTCCAGATGACAGCTTACCTTGGACTTGGCATACCGCTTGTAGCTCCCTTATCTGCACACTGACCGTGCCATAAAATCTCAACCACTTGTAAAGCAGCCACAGAGCTACATCAAGCCACAGCCGAAGAGTTGAAAGACTGAACTATGTGCTAGCCCACATGACGAGTCGAACGAACTCTGCTGCTCCTCTAGCGAGTCTGCTCCTTCCCTCTGTGCAGGCGAACTGGCCCTTTAACAGGAGTGGGAATTTCCCATACAAAAAGCTAACATTCCCTACCCCTCCCCCACTAAGGAAACGAAGCCCTCAACTTGAGGCAGATCCCGAGGCTCTCTCTCAGTAAGCTTCCTGGACTAAGTCCGTAAGAACATGCCTGCGTGCACAGGGTGATTCTCAGCCCAAATGCTAGGAAAAACTGGTTTAGAACACGAGGAAGGTAGAAGTTTCATTGTGGTAAGAGGAGGAGCTGACAAAGAAAGACAATACGAGAACGCTGTGGAAACATAGAGGCAAATGATGTATAGGTTAAGTTCCCAATACTGTGTCTTTGATAACTCAACAAAAAAAAATAATATTAAAAATCACAGTAAACTACTTCACTTAATTAAAAAGCATGAAAGGGAAAACACAAATTGCATACTACCTAAAACACCAAGCCTGTCTTGATATTTTCCAAACCATTTGCTCACATGTAAAAATGATGGCATTAGCCTTCAAATTAGCACACAGACAATTGACACTGGAAGTAAACAAAATATGAATTGAGTTTTATGAGGTGTTTGTACAAGCAAGTTAGAAAACCTAGCCTATTAATAGACTACACATCTAGCCAGGACTGATACTACCTACTAAAATAAGAACTTATGCGTATTAAGTGCAGCTAGCAAGTTTGAGCCAGTTCTGCTATAATCAGAGTATCTTAGCTATACAACACAAAGTAATAAGTTCACCTTTGTTTTGGGATTATTTATATCAATTTGTATTTTCCTAATTACAGATATTCCTTTACAATAAATAAGGGGACAACAGCAGTCCAATTCAGGTTCTCATCATTCTTAAGCATACATATCCCACTGAAAGTCAATAAAGGGATTTTAGTTTGAATGGGTTATGAACTGCAGTTCTTTTGTTTTTATTTCTAAAAAGAACTTTTTAAAAAGTCAGGAAATTGCTTTGTGTATCGAAGACATGATACTTTTAAAACATAAACACTGCAGCCATGTAGACGACCAGGATTGTATCTACAGCAAAATATACTGTAAAGATTAGCCTAAAAATTTAGTGGCAAGTCTTCTGACTTCCCTTCCTCATATTTAAATTAAACTAAGTCTATTTCCATTTTGAATGCCTTCTCTCAAACTATGCAGTTGACCAAACTATAAATGCATCTTCTTCAGTGTAAAATAGATAGAACCAAGTATTAATTTTAACTTTTAAAATTACAATCACGAACGTACAAAACTTAAGAGATTCATGCATATCTGAAGCTCAATTAAAAAAATTATTCTCAGATGAAAATTTGATTCCTCCATATCACTATATGACCCTTCTTATAGAGATTATTGTACAGTTTGTGAGAACTTTCTCAAACAGTAAGAATTAATGATTCTCAAGTAGCTTTTCTTCCTACTTGCCACAATGAAAAAGCCAACCAGAGAAAATCACAAGGTCTTTTGACAGTCACAAGCTACAATTAGATCTACAAGTCACTGGAAATGGCAGCTATATATCTAATGACGTAATAAGTCATGCACTGACAGACTTTACTAGCAAAATGGCAAGTGCTAGGTACTGCAATGTACACATTTTAAAATCTACTCTAATCATAGTAGTCATGGACTCACTTAACCAATAATCAAGACTAGCCCAAACGTAGCTGGAGGGGCAGATACTACTACTACTCAACGTATACTATTGTCCTGTGTTTGAAAACGTGAAGGAAGTTGACAACACATCATTTTAAATTTATTTACAGGAAGATCCAGAATTGCTAAAGGACTGAGAACTACCATTCCATTAAAGAAAAAAGGCAACTCTGAAAATGCTGTTCTGCCCACTGCATCGTCTTTACTACTGTAACAATTGTACTTCAATAACTGTTGATAGCTTTTAGAATGTCTTGCATAATTCTTGTTGCCAAAGAAAAGAAAGGGAGCAAATAAAAGAATGTTAGCCATTTGATAACTTTAAAAACTTATACTAAGAAAAATTATCTGTTTTGAACAAGTCTTTTCACCAGAGGATCGTTTCCAGAAACATCTCAGGAAGGATAGATCACAATGAACAGTTTTGAAACTGAACTGCATTGGGAATATAGTAACAGATCACCAGATACCCACACCCATGTAAGATTTACAATACCTGAACGTATTTTGTATGCAACACGGTATATTCACTATGTATCAAGTGCCTACTATGTTTGACTTGACGGCAACCTTCCATTTCTTTCACTTGGCCTAGCACGAATTAGCTATCGTTAGTCCCTACTTGCTTTTAGGAATAATATTTGAGTTATGCAGCAAAACGTCTAGGCAACAGACACAAAGCTAAGCTCAGTTCCTTTTCTGGGTAGGATGAGGAAAGACTGTACCTTCAGACATACACACTTACCATCACTCTCTGCCCTGACTAGCAGGGACATGCCCTTCAGTCTCTCCACGTAGCAAGAGGACACATGCCCTGTGCCTCGATCATCCCACTGGCGGTCCTCGTTTAGCGTGTAAACCTTCACCCTCCGCCGGGTGTCAGTCATCCTGCCGCCTGCCACACCACAGCCACCACTCTGGTTTGCAATTGCTGGAGAAGCAGAAGGCTGGTCGAGGACTAGGCCCCCCTCAAAGGAGGGGAGCGGGAAAGAAGGTAGCAGCCCCACAAGGACACGACAAGCGAGCTCTTCTTACTCTTCAGTGCTCCAACGGGACCTCATTATCGAGGGTAAGAGAGGATGAGGGGGCGCAGAGGAAGAGGAGAAACAAGAAAAGAGGTGAAGATGTCAAAGGGGAGCTCCTCCAGGCAGAGTCCGGCGCTGCACAAAAGGCGAGTACGACTAGGCAGGGCAGTGCCGCAGAGAGAAATGAGGCTTTTTGCAGGGTGAAGGGCAGACAGGAGAGGCGGCGCAGAAGGGATCCTGGAGAAGTGGATCCCGGGAAGTCGAAGCGGTGGTGGAGAGCAGATGGCACGGGCGTCAACGGGCAGGCGGCCCGGGGTGACAGGAGCAGGCGACCCTGGAGGCTGAGGCCCTGGAGAGGGAGGCAGGCGGGAGGCTGGCGAGGCCGGGGTGAAGCGGGCGCGGGGAGGCAGGCGGGAGAGGGCCTGCTTGCCCCGGCCCGGAGCTCGGCTCTATTGTGCAGCAGCTGCCCAGGCCCGAGGCCCCTCGCTCGCCGCCCGTCAGCGCGGGGCTCCGAGCCGCCCCCCTTCCCGCCGCGGGCCCGCCGGGGCC